TCCTGACGTTCAGCATGCTGGTGTTCTGCAGCGTGTGGGTCACCTTCCTCCCCGTGTACCACAGCACCAAGGGGAAGGTCATGGTGGCCATGGAGGTCTTCTCCATCTTAGCCTCCAGTGCGGGGCTGCTGGGCTGCATCTTTGCCCCTAAGTGCTACATTATCTTGTTACAGTCAGGAAGAAATTCTTTGCATGGGTTGAAAGACAAAACACTTTCTGGAAGAGAGAAGCCTTCTTAAGTTTATACACATGTTGTTCTTAACTACTTAAATGGTATGTGTCAAATCTGCACCACTATTTCTATCATAAAATAGATGACAATATGAGATTTACTTGGATTAAGATGTGAGTTTTTTTCTTTCACAGTATAGTAGCCAATATTAATGACAATCACCTCTTCAGTTTGAATTTTGTTATGAATTTTTTGTTCTTCCCATTAAAGCTGCAATAAACCATATTAGTGTGCTTTAAATTTGATTACTTTATCCATGTTGTCTTGCCTTTCCTTTGGCAATCTTAATTTTTTTTTTTTTTTGCTAATTTTTAGAATGCTATCTGCTACCTATAGATCATCACATTTTAAAACAACTAGTACACTTTATTAAGTTCTTTTTATTTTCATGGAGAAACACACTTTTATATTCTTAATTTTATTAGTGAATTTTTATGATAGATAGTAATTACATTCATTTTAGGGAACACAAAATTGTGATAACTTGATACCTTTTCTCCGGTTAATATTTCCTTTGCTTATTTTCGAAGTCCTCTTTCCCATTTCCCAAGCTTCTGCATTCTTGTTTCCTCTCATCTCTCTTTCACTGTGCTGCATATATATATAGATATATGTATACACACATGTACATATATTATTTATACATGAGTATGTGTTTGCAGCACATAATATTCACAGAACGTATGTGGAATTAGTTCACGTGCAGAGCATGTCTTCATCCCTTTTCAAATCCCCTTTCCCCTTCCTTCTGTCTCTTGATCCCCTTCTCATTTGAGAAAAACAATCTCCTCATTTCATCTATCTATACTTATTTTTAATTTGTTTTTCTTATATAAGAGGAACCATGCAATATTTAACCTCATGTGTCTGCTTTATTTCATTTAACATTATAGCCTCAAGTCTTAGTCACTTTTCTAAAAATGACTCATGTTTATCTTTCTTTGTGGTGTAAACACCATATTTTATTTCTTTTATATTTTAAAGAGAATAAAAAATTTAAAAAACAATACGAAAGATACAGAATTTCAAAACAAGATGACAGGAAGTCACCAATGGTTGTTACATTGTGTATTGTTATCTTCAAAGTAGTTGCTCAAGTTACAAGATACAGGCATGCAAAATTGATCAAAAAATTAAGCATTCACTGTTCCTTTCAGTAAACTAATACAAATTAGTAGTACAATTATCTTAGCTATCTTGTATATATATTCCCTTCCTTCCTTCTTTCTTTTCTCCTTTCCCTCATCCCAGTTCTTTCCTTCTGAGCATTTTCTTTCTCTTTCACAATATCTACTGTAACTTTTTGATTTTATTTACTCTTTCACTACCTTACAGTAGGGAGACAATACAATGTTTATATATGTGAGTCTGATTTATTGCACTTATGAGTACTGTCTCTGGTTGCATCCATTTACCTATAAAAGCCTTGAGTTTATTTTTCTTTACAGCTGAGTAGTACTCCATTGTATAAAAATACCACATCTCTTTTATCCATTCCTCAGTTGATGGGGATTTGGGTTGTTTCCAAAATCTAGCAATTGCAAATTGTTGTACTGTAATCATGGTTGCACATATATCACTGTGGTATGATATTTTCAATTCTTCTGGAAAAATACCCAGAAGGAGAATAGCTGGGTCAAATGGAACCTCTACTCCTAGTTTTTTGAGGAATCTCCACACTGATTTCCACAGTGCTTGTACCGTTCTACACTCCCACCAACAGTGGAGATGGGTTCCTTTTTCCCCACAACCCCTCCAGCACTTGTTATTCATTGATATCTTGATGGTAGCCATTTTTTCTGGTGTGAGATGGAATCTCAGTGTTCTTTTAATTTGCATTTCTTGAATGACCAATGATGTTGAACATTTTTCCATATATTTATTTTCCATTTGTATTTCTTCATCTGGGAAGTATATATTCATCTCATATGCCCATTTTTGGATTGGTTCTTTGAATTTTGTGGGTCTGACTTTTAAAAAAATCTTTATAGGCTCTAGATAAAAGTCCTTTCTCTGAGGGACACTTGGCTAAATTTTTTTCCCAATTCATTGGTCTTCTTTTTGTTCTATTGGTGATTTCTTTTGATGTGCAAAAACTTTCCAATAAGATAAGAACACAGTTGTTGATTCTTTGAAGTATTTCCCATGTGGTTTGGTTTTTGTTCCTGAAATCTTCAAGATTTCTACCTACTGTCTCATCCAGTAGATTTAGTGTTTCTATTTTAATATTTAGTTCTTTTTTTTTTGTTGGTTTTTCTCCGGCACCGGGAACCGAACTCACGACCTTGCGCTTGCCAGGCAGGCGCTTTTGCCGCTGAGCTAAATCCCCAGCCCCTTTAATATTTAGTTCTTTGATCCATTTTAACTTTAAGTTAGTGCATGGTGATAGACATGGGTCTAATTTTAGTCTTTGGCATGTGGAGAGCCAGTTTTTCCCAGCACCATTTATTAAAGAGTCTATCTTTCTTCCAGTGAACATGTTTGGCCCATTTGCCAAAGATAAGATAGCTGGATGTTTTTGTGGTTGTGGCTGAATCATTTAATCTGTTCCATTGATAATTGGTCTATTTTTTTGCTAGTACTGTGCTGATTTTATGACAGTAGCTTTTAGTATAATTTCAAGTCAGGGATTGTGATGCCTCCTGACTTGCCTTTTTTTGCCCAGGATTGCTTTCACTATTCTGGATCTCTTCTATTTCCAGATGAATTTTAAGAATGTTTCCTCTAGATCTGTGAGGTATATTAGTGGTATTTTAATCAGGATTGCATTGAATCTGTATAACAAATTTGGGAGTATGGCCATGTTCACAGTGTTCATTCTTCCTATCCATGAGCAAAGAATATCTTTCCATTTTCTGAAATCCTCTCCAATCTCTTTTTTCAGAGTAGTGTAATTTTCACTGGGTAGATCTTTGACCTGCTTTGTTAGATTGATTCCTAAGTATTTCATTGTTTTGGATGCCGTTGTGAAGGGTGTAGTTTCCCTAATTTCTCTCTCAGTGAGTTTATTGTTTGTGTACAAGAATGCTATTGATTTTTGAGTGTTGACTTTTCTTTTAATTTTAAGGAAAATAGTACAAAAAAAGAACATTAGAAAAATACAAACAAAAAATGCAGGATATTAAAAATGATACTGGGTTTCAAACCAAATGATAGGGATTAACAGTGGTTGTTATATTGCCTATTATTATTTTCAATAAAGTTGCTCAGATTACCAGATGCAAGAATAGAAGATTGATTAAATCATTAAAGGGAATAAAAAAAATAATTTAAAAGAACGTTAGAGGCAATACATAGTTTCACTAGACAAGATTGTAGGAATTAACCAACGGTTGTTATATTGCAAATTGCTGTCATCACAAAAGTTGCTCAGGTTACCAGATTTAAGCATGTAAAATTGGACAAAATATTAAAAACT